ACCACTTCATTTCAATATTGTCATGGAAGTTTGGTCAGAGAAATTATACAAGATTAGTTACTAAAAGCTCACAAATGGAAAGGAAGAAGAAAAAGTTTATTTATATATGACATGATCTTCTATGCAAATAAGCCTAAGAATTGGAAAAACTCTGTACGAGATTATAATATTTCCCGAAAGGTAGGAGCAGAGAAGACCAACACATATGGGTCAATGGGATACTGCTGAGAATCAAGGGATACATACATGTACACTCAGTTGTTTTCGAACACGGAGACCAAGATCATTCAATGAAGCAAAAACAGTGTCTCCAACAAACGGTGTTGAGAAACCGGATATCCACATATGAAGGAGTGAAGTCAGAGCATTCCCTTCCACCCTATAAAAAATGAACTCCACATGGATCCAAGAATGAACTTTAAGAGCGAAAATTCTTAACACTCAGAAGGAAGCTAAGAGCACCTAGGGGCAGATCTTCCTTCCCTTGGATTTGGCAATATGGTGTCTGTTGTATGGCACCCGAAGCCCAAGCAACAACAGAGAAAACAGAGACACTGGACTTCAACGTTGCTAAAAACTTCTGTGAATGAAAGGGTAATCTCAAGAGGATGTAAAGAAACCCAAAGAAAGGTAGGAAATATTTGCAAATCTCATACGAGTCTTGCATCTAGAATGTGTACAAAACTCCTCCAACTTAAGAACCTAAACAACCCCACTGAAAATAATAGACATTTCTCCAAAGAAGATAGTCAGACGACCCAGTGAGCACATGGGGCGATTTTCCTCATGAGCTCGTAGGAAATGCAAGCCAACACCACAGTGACATGCCTTCCCCCACCCAGGAGGAGGGGCTCCAAGATCGGGTCAACCTTCCTCTTGTAAATTTCCAGAAAAGGAAGCAGGCAGAATCCTAGAGATGTTCTTCCAGTGGTGACCCCTGTGACGCTCCTGGATCCGAGTGGTGCCAAGGTGGACTGCAGCCAGCGCTACAGTGTGCTGCCCAGATGCGCTCCTTGGGACAAAGGCTCTCATTTCCTCCGTGGCCGGGAGTGCTAGCTGCTGATGGCTCAGAGAAGTCCTTCTGAGGAGCTGCCTGCAGCTGCAGGGCCCCCCTCCCAGGGGGCAGCCGTGCAATGACTGGTTTGTGCACAGTGCAAAGGCTCCACCCTCTGGTCTCAATTCAGGATCTCTCTCCAGGTGGCCCCTCACCGTTCAACCTCTCCTCCCCAAGAAGCTGCCTGCACGCAAGGATCAGCCATGCCCAAGACTCCCCTGTTACCCAGCGCTCCAATCTTTGTCTCCCTGCTGCAGCTGTGATGCTCCCTCTCCCTGGAGCCACTCCTTGCATTTTGTCCCATCTTGCCCGCTCGCCTTAAACTACAGTCACAGGTCTCATCAATTGTCCCGACCCCTCCACGCCTCTCAGTGAACGCTGCTCATTCATTGTCTCATCCTTTTCCAAGAGTGTGCTCACAGACACAGCAGTAAGAGCTCCGTAATCAAACATTTTATACATGGGAGAAGTCATAAATAATATAACAACAGCAGCATACATTCCCTCGGCCATCAGAAATAAAGCATAATCAAAAAACTGAAGCCCCTTGACTTCCTTACTTACTGATCAATGTCCCCACCAATACCCAGAGGCAACCACTCTCCTGAATTTAGTGTTTAGCATTCTTTTTTACTCTAAAAGAATGGAATTAGGGGCGCCTGGGTGCCTCAGTCGTTAAGCGTCTGCCTTCGGCTCAGGTCATGATCCCGGGGTCCTGCGATCGAGCCCCGCATTGGGCTCCCTGCTCGGCGGGAAGCCTGCTTCTCCCTCTCCCACTCCCCCTGCTGGTGTTTCCTCTCTCGTTGTGTCTCTCTCTCTCTCTCTCTGTCACATGAATAAATAAAATCTTAAAAAAAAAAAAAAAAGAATGGAATTAAATAGTGCATGCATCCATATTCAACTTTTTTTTCATTTAACCTTGTGAAAATCATTTGTGTTGATATATGTAACTAATTTATTCATTTTGTTACCATATAGCACCCTATTGGATAGCTATGTATCATTTACCAATTCTCCTAGAGATGACTTGATGTCCTTCCCCGCTGCCAGCAAAAGCAGCATGTTGCAGTGAATGTTCTTGTCTTTGCACACTTGGGCAAGCTGCTCTAGGGTACACACCAAGGGTGGAATTGCTGGGTTGTAGAGTATATGCATCCTTAACTACTAGAAATTGCTAGATGGCTGTTGAGAATCACTAAATCAATTTATACTCCCACCAGCAGTGAATCAGTTCATTCTGCACCGCTCACAAATCCACATCCTCGTCAATTTTGGCATTGACAGATTTTTAAGTTTTAGCCCATCTGTCATGTGTGAAATGGCACGTCCTTGGATTTAATTTCCATTAGCTTAAATCTTAGTGAAAGTGACCTTCTTGTTTGTTGGGGCACCTGGGCAGCTCATTAAGCATTTCCTTTGGCTCAGGTCATGATCCTGGGGTACTGGCATTGGGCCCTGCGTCAGGCTACCAGCTCAGCGGGGAGTTTGCGTCTCCCTCTCCCTTTCCCCCCTCCCCCTCTCGTGCTCTCTCTCTCAAATAAATTAAAAAAAAAAATTTGTTGCACAGGGGTGCCTGGGTGGTTCAGTCTGTTGAACTTCTGACTCTTGATTTTGGTTCAGGTCATTATCTCGGGGTCATAGGTTTGAGCCCTGTGTGGGCTCTGCGCGCTCAGCGGGGAGTTGGCTTCTTCCTCTCCCTCCTCATCTGCCACCATCCCCCATCCCCTCTCTCAAATAAATAAACAAATCTTTTAAAAATTATTTGTTGCACAAATAAATACAAAGCGCTCCACTCATTCATTCTGGTTCATGCATCTGTCCTGTTTGATGCCTGCAGAGATCCCATTCCTAGACTGTACATATGTTATACTCAGTTTATACACCTGGCCTTCTACCAAACGCTCCTTTTACATCCTATCCTTACCAAGCTCCCCAGCCAAAATCCATTTCTGGGGATTGTTTCTTCTTGGCTTTGTGTTTTGATTATGTTGCCATGATGCTGACCTGTTCCTGTGACTTTGCCCTGGCAGATCCTCCCATCTCCTTGTCTGGAGACTAATCTGTCCTCTAACCTCGTGCTTGGCTGAGGTCTTACATCCGTGACCTTGACCCAAGTCATCCTAAACCAATCATAAACGTAGGCTGCAAACAGGCTGACCCCTTGCTCTCCTGTTTCTGTGATTGGCACTACTAACTCTTTGCTCAGTGGGTCCTGAAGCCTTCATCAATCTTGGTGTCAGTCTTGCTCCTTCCCCCAGGAGACCTGAGGCAGGAAAGCATCCTCAAGGTATAGGGACAACCGATCTAAGATGCTATAATTGCATCCAGCCAGTCACTAACTACTGTCCATTTTTTCTCTGTGAACTCTACTTCCATCATCTTCGGTCCTGCTGTCACCTCGCTGATTCTTGCAATGAGCCAGAAGAGCTGCACAGAACCCCTGAGGTCCCCAGTGATGTCCACAGGGGACCCCGGAGGCTGTTAGGAGCCAGTCTCTGAGAGGATTTCTGAGGCCTCGGGGCTGTATATTGGGAAGAGGTCCCTGGGGCCTTCCTGAGCTCCACTAGGAGAGAATCCCGGGAGACTGCCTGAGGCTGTGTCAGGAGGGAGTCCCTGCGGATCCACTGAAACCTTATTGGAAGATCTCTGGAGATTCCCTGAGGTCATGTAAGGACAGGATCCCGGAAGAGCTCATCAGGCTATGAACAAAGGAGCCCTGAGGATCTAGTGAGGGTATGTCAGCTGGGGATCACCAAGGATCCATTAAGATCACACCAAAGAGAAGATTCCTGGAGTTTCTATAGTGACAAAAGGGGGTCCCTGGAGAGTTCCCATGGTTGTCATTCATCCAACACACACTTGCAGAGGCAGAAGACCTAGGCCCCACTGAGCAGGATCTCACAAGCTACCTGTGGACACAGAGATCATAAAAACAGTCAGGTAAGTGTTGCAGGGTGGGCACAAGGACCTGTGGAAAGGGCATAAAATTCGGTGTCCGCGAGGTGAGCGAGCCGTTCTGCTCTTCCGGGAGGGGCAGCCTTTGGGGGTGGTGGGCATACGGCTGCCGTACTGCATGTAAAGAACCCGGCGCAGATCTTGCGTGGGGCAAGAACTCCATCAGTGCTACCCATCAGTAAGCGAGGGGCACGGGCAAACTTACACGTGCAGCCCAATTCTTGTCTCACGAGAGAACTGGCGGAGGTGTGTCCGCGGACTGTCCTGCAGTCGGGAAAGGCCAGGACCTGGCTTCTCGGTCCGGGTCCGCGACCAAGAGAAATCCAGCGCCAGTCACGCACGTCACCCCACATCTTCGTTGGCTACGTCAAGTTAAGAAAAGCAAACACCAAAACATAACTTCAGCAACTGTCATTTCACCACGTAACCAACGCAGACTCGCTCTTTTCAAAGATTTCATTCACTCGAGCGAGCTCTCGAGCGAGCGAGGGCACCAGCCGGGAAGGGGCAGGCGGAGGGGGAAGCAGACTCCCCGCCGAGCGGGGGCCCGACGCGGGGCTCGAGCCCAGGGCCCTGGGGTCACGACCCGAGTCCAAGGCAGACGGCGGGCCGACGGAGCCGCCCGGCGCCCCACCAGTGTAGACGGACTCTCCCTCCGCTCCGCTTCGTGCCGACTCTTCGAAAACCCTGCCGGGGGCTTCCTGCGCCGGGTTCCGCGACCCCCAGGCGCCCCCCCCCGCTCCGCCGACCCCGCTGCCCCTCGCTGCCTCCGCGCGCCCCGGACCCTCCCGCCGCCTCGCCCGGCGGCAGAGCACAGAGCCGGACGGGGACCCCAGCCAGCCGCCGACACACGGACCCCCGCCGCCCGCCCCGCAGCCGCCACACCCCCTCCCCGGCGTCGCCCTTCAATGCCGTCACGCCCGCGCCTTGCGTCCGGCGCGCCGGGGCGGAGGCGGGACTTCCGGGCGCGCGGAGGCGGGACTTCCGGGGGCCGCTGAGGGGCCGCTCGGGGTGCAGGAAAGGGCCGCCGGGCCTGGCCGGCCGCACTCGAGCTGTCGGGGCCGCGGGCCTGAGGGAGGAGGAGGGGCCATGGCCGGCGACGGGGCCCGGAAGCAGTTCTGGAGGCGCAGCAACGGCGAAGTCCCGGGCAGGTGGGTGTGACGGGAGGCCGGGTCGGGGTCAGGGCTCGGAGGTCGGGCGGGCGCGTGGGCCCGCGGGGCTGCGGGTGGAGTCGGGGGTCTGGGGAGGGCTGCTGGGGACGAGAGGGACGTTGGGGGGCCGGGGGGCTCGAGCGCAGGGTCTGGGCGGTGACGGGGGCTGCGCGCAGACCGAGGCTTGAAGGGAGGAGGAGCAGCTGCTCGCGAGTCTTCCCGAGGCCGCAGGCTCTCCTCGGTGACACTCCTCGGCAGGCTCTCCTCGGTGACACTCCCGGGCGCCCTGGGAAGCCGAAGGGGACCGACTCGGGTCGCGCTGCGAAGGGTTCGGGGAGTGCGGACCTGGCCCGCTGGCCGCGCGGGCTGCGCTTGCCGGGCGATCGCCTCTCCGGGGGGCGCGGCGGTGGGACCCACTTGAATGGCCTTCTTGTCCCTCCCGCGCTCGGCTGCGCTTGCCGAGCGGTCGCCTCTCCGGGGGGCGCGGCGGTGGGACCCACTTGAATGGCCTTCTTGTCCCTCCCGCGCTCGGCTGCGCTTGCCGGGCGATCGCCTCTCCGGGGGGCGCGGCGGTGGGACCCCCTTGAATGGCCTTCTTGTCCCTCCCGCGCTCGGCTGCGCTTGGCCTCGAGCTCGAGGACTCGCTCCGGTGGATTTGAGCCTCCCTGTGAATTTCCACGTACCCCACCTTCCGGCCGCAAAACCAACTCCTTTCTTGAGTCCGCAGCAGGAAGCGAATTAAGGAAAAGAAATTAAACAAAAAATGAAGTGCGTGCAATGACCCGGGTGCACTCTGGAAGCTGTTCGGCTCCAAAGTCCTGATCAGCGTGCGGCTGATCCCCGGCCCGCGCCCGGGGGAAGGTGAAGACAGTGCGTGGACAGTGCCTGGCGAACGTAGATTAGAGAGAAACAGATGTCAAGGTTTCTTTTTCTTTTTTAAAGATTTTATTTATTTGAGAGAGAAAGAGAGAGAGCATGAGGGGGGGAGGGTCAGAGGGAGAAGCAGGCTCCCCGCCGAGCAGGGAGCCCGATGCGGGACTCGACCCCGGGACTCCAGGATCATGACCCGAGCCGAAGGCAGTCGCTTAACCAACTGAGCCACCCAGGCGCCCCATGATTTTATTTATTTAAGAGAGAGAGAGCATGAGAAAGGGGAGGGTCAGAGGGAGAAGCAGACCCCCCCGCCGAGCAGGGAGCCGGATGCGGGACTCGATCCCGGGACTCCAGGATCATGACCTGAGCCGAAGGCAGTCACCCAACCAACTGAGCCACCCAGGTGCCCCATGATTTTATTTATTTAAGAGAGAGAGAGCATGAGAAGGGGGAGGGTCAGAGGGAGAAGCAGACCCCCCCGCCGAGCAGGGAGCCCGATGCGGGACTCGATCCCGGGACTCCAGGATCATGACCCGAGCCGAAGGCAGTCGCCCAACCAACTGAGCCACCCAGGCGCCCCAGATGTCAAGATTTCTAAACACGGTTTATTCTGTTTGCAAACTAATGTCTGAATACTGAAAATTAGGAATTGTGGTATTAAAATAATTCCATGTAGAATCATTTATAAACACAGCTTATTCGTAAGTGTTGCATAAGAGACACTATGGGTGGAGTGGTAGAATTGTAAACTTTGGAATTCACTGTGTTCGGTCAGAAGCATTCAGTTTTCAGAGTGATTTGGGGAATTTGTAGGAGTGAGTTACTGACTGCTCAGACACGCTGACTTTGGAGGGGATCAGCAGAGGCGGCCAGAGATCCTGCTTCACGCCACAGGGTTGTGCATGATTGAGGAAGAAAAGAGCTTTCTTCAAAACCAATGTCAGGGTCCAAGGTGATGCGAAAATTCTGGAATGGCGGAGAATAGGAGGTCCCAATAGTGACAGAGACAGATGCTCCAGAACATAGACCCCGGGGAGAACGAGCCACATGGCAGTAGAACTTTTGTGTGTTGCCTTTAGGTCTTGAGGTTTTGGTTCTTCCTCAGTCTAAATAAACTCTGATTCTTAACCAGCTGAGCTCTGAGGATAGTTGAGCTGCAGTATGGAGTTAGAATGGTGAATAAACATTTGGATTGAGGACTATCTCTTGGTAATTTGTCTTTGTATTGGATTCAGTAGTGGCCCCCTCCCCCCATTCATGTCTATCTGGAAGTCTGCGAGTGTGACCTTATTGGGACGTAGCATCTTTGCAGATGTGATTCAGCTAAAATGAGGTCATACTGGGTTAGGGTGAGTGCTAGTCCAGTGACTGGTATCTTTTTTTTTTTTTAAGATTTTATTTATTTATCTGAGAGAGAGAATGGGAGACAGAGAGCATGAGAGGGGAAGGGTCAGAGGGAGAAGCAGACTCCCTGCCGAGCAGGGAGCCCGATGCGGGACTCGATCCCGGGACCCCAGGATCATGACCTGAGCCAGAGGCAGTCGCTTAACCAACTGAGCCACCCAGGCGCCCTGCCATCATCTTTTAAGAGTCTTACCAAAAAAACTGTCACTGGTGTATCTCTAGTAGGTGATTTGGCCAGGGTCTCACACTGCATGAGAGGTGGTCTTGCCAGTAGCCCCCCCTCCTCTATTCACGCTGGTCCTTAGGTTGTCTATTTGGCTGGGGCTTTCTTAGAAATTTCTGGATGAAGCAGGATGTGTGATGTGGTGGAAGCACCTCTGACTTGGTTCTGTGGTCTGGGTTTCAGCCTTTTTTTTTCTATTAATCTCTGTGTGACTTTCACCAGGTCATGTCACCCCTGGGGCCATCAGTTTCTGCCAGTGTAACCTGCTGAAGCTGGATGAGACCTAAGTGGCTGAGATCTCCAGGCACATATTTGTTCGGTCTGGTCCGATTCTCTTTGATGAGCACGAGAGAGGGCCTCTTGGAGGAGCTTTGAGAGTTTGAAAATTCATTCATTCAGTAGATATTTGTTTAACCAACTCTTGGTGCCAATAACAGTTCCAGGGGCTAGAGATACACCAGTGAACAAAACAGATCAGAACCAGTGCTGTCTCAGAGCTTACAGCGGAGCTGGAGGGGCAGAGAATAGAGACCATGACTAAGTTAAGAAGAGAGTTACCCCCGAGAAGGTGGGAACTGTTATCCTGTTATTGAAACCTCAAGCAGAGAATTGGGATTGGGAGGCATGTGGAGTGGGGAGGGTTTCCCGGTGATAAGGTGGCCAGAGAAGGTCTCACAGAGGAGGTAACATTTGAGCAGGACTCACAGGAGGTGAGCGAACAGGCCCCCTGGGTGGCTGGGAGGACAGTGGTCTGGGCAGAGGGCCAGTGGAAAGTCCCCGGTTGGGAGCGACAGCGGTGTGCTCGAGAAGAGTGGGGGGCCTGGTGACTGGAGCCAAGGGAGGAGGGGGAGAGTCCTGGGGCACGAGGACCGGAAGCTGGTGGGGGCAGGCCTCGTGGTCACAGTGGAAAGACGTGGGCTTTCTGTCTCTTATTCTGATGGGGGAGCGCTTTGGAGGGTCTTGGCAGAGGTGTGGCAGGATCCCTTTGGCCTCTGGGTGGATGGTAGGTTAGGGGCTGGGAGGGAAGGACGGACGCAGGGAGACCAGTTCGGAGGCTGTGGTGAACGTCCGGGTGAGAGAGGACGGTGGTGCTGCAAGAATCAGAGGGCGGGTGGTGGGGATCAGGACGCGTTCAGTCTGTGACTCTCTGGGGCTGGTTCTCTCTTGGGCCAGTGACCCACTTGGCTCTGAGGGGCGGCTGCCCTCTGCAGTTGTGGGTGGCACTCTTGCCACACTTAGCTGTCAGTGGCAGGACGAAGTCACCGCCCACCGCGGTGCGAGCGCAGGCGGCCCTCCGGCGTGGGTCCGCTGGGGCCGCGAGCGCTGCGCACAGGAGGCCGTGCGGGCGGTGGGGCCTGTGGAGGGCGACGTTTGTGAGCGGGATGGAGGCAGGAAGGGCCCAGATTGAATCGGCAAGGCTGTGGGTGCTTGGGGTGGAGCTGGAGGAGAAGACAGCTCACGGTGTTGTGGCTCAGACAGCTTTCAGCTTCCAGCGGCCACAGCCCGAGGAGTCTCCGAGCCGGTGAGACATGAGCTCCACCGTCATTGTAACAGGCCGCCATCACTCATCAGCTGAGGGGAGGACTTGTTGGGGGGACAGTTCATTCGTTCAGAACGCATTCTGTGTGCCAGGTCCCGTGCTGAATGCTGAGCCAAGAGATGTGGCTCTCAGAGGCTGCTGGGGTGAGGGAGACGGTAAGCACATTGGTATGTTCTTCGAAGGTCATCATCTGGGGGCGTTGGCAGAAGCACAGGACCCTGCGTCAATGGAAGGCCATGCCCTTCCAGAAGAGGTCATGCCTGACCTGAGACCTGTAGGTGGAGAGGGAGCCAGCCCACAGAGATGCACAGATGCGGAGATGCGGGGTGGGCGTCAGAGCACTCCTGGCAGGGGAAGGGTGCTGCGGGGACCCTGGGGCTGGGGAGGAGGACGGCAGGAGGGGAGCCTTGTGAGAAGAGGGGTGGGAGGCGGGCAGGGCTTGGAAGGCCATAGAAAAGGGCCGCAACGAAGCACTGAAGGGTGGCGATCACCAGGGTTCTGGCCGGAGGGATGGGGCGTGGTTGCAGAATGATGAACCCCAAAGATGTCTGCATCCTTATCCCTGGAACCTGGAACCAGACCACATGGCCAAAGAGTGGAAGGTGCAGATCTGCTGACCCTGAGGTGGTACCTTTTCCTGGGTGGCCTGGTGGGTCCAGTAGAATGGAGTGAGCGCTTAAAAGTGGTCAGAATCAACAGCAGATGGACGCTTGTCTTGTCGCTGGCTCTGAAAGTGGAGGCGGGGGCCATGAGCCGGGGGGTGCGGTGGCCTCCAGCACTTGGAGTGGCCTTCTGCTTGCAGCCGGCGGGAACCTCGGTCCTACAACCGCAGGAAACTGGATTCTGCCAACAGCCTGCATGAGCAGGACGTGGACTCTCCCCAGAGCGTCCAGAAATGAGTGCAGTGGCCAACACCTACACTTTAGTCCCGTGAGAACTGCCTTGGACTCTGACCTCCAG